GCTGTAAATTTTACTGACTCAAGTATGATTTACCTAAATCCTTGTAGGATAAAATGCCACATGTGGATCACAGATCATTTCTTAAATGCAATAAAAAGCCATCATATGTTTAATTGCCAAATATCCACATGAAGGATAAACATTTTAAGCACTACATAATATATATATAAAATACTGTAATATATAACCACTTCATAGGATGCTCACCTAGAGAGGAAATTGGGAACCTTAGTCCTACTAACAAAGGTGGATCCCTCCCTGATTGCATTTTAGGGCAAAAGAGTCTGGTTTCTACTCTCAATCAAAAGTCACCCTGATGCCAAAACAGGTTTAGCTCAATGGATAGAGCATCAGCCTGCGGACTGAAAGGTCCCGGGTTCGATTCCAGTCAAGGGCATGTACCTTGGTTGCGGGCACATCCCCAGTGGGGGGTGTGCAGGAGGCAGCTGATCGATGATTCTCCCTCATCGATGTTTCTAACTCTCTATTCCTCTCTCTTCCTCTCTGTAAAAAAAAAAATCAATAAAATATATATTTTTAAAAAGTCACCCTGAAACAAGCACAATTGTTGGCCATTGAGAGGTTACAAGCTCCCTAGCATAAGCTCCAATATAGTTTAGCTTGGGATGGCTAGCTGTGGAACTAAGCAAAGTCATTTTGCAGCTCAGGGTCACCTTCCTCTCTGAGGGAATAAACATACTGTGCCACTTCAGAGAGCAGTCACATCAGTTAATTACTGTCTTACTGCTTTGTTGGAAAGCAATTAATGGCAGTGATTGGAAGCATAAAAGATTACCTATGGACATTAAATAAACTGCCCAAATATATCTGGAGTGTTTCCCCAGGGTTACACAAACAAGAGGGCACTTCCTATAGATAATAGCTCAAATCAACAAACCTTCCCTATGAATGGATGCAAAGAAGCAGAGACTTGCCCTGTCTTTCTGAAAGCCAAAATCCATTGGCTTTCCTGTGACAGGAATTTTGGTGTTTCTTTTACTATTTTTAATGTGGCCCCTTGTGCTTACAGGATGGAACCTCTGCTATAAGGAGCTGAATGTACAGCAAGTAAACCATATTTTCTTCATCCCTGCACAGCCAGCTGCTTAGCAGCATTTGTGAGCGCTCTCTTCAATTTCAAGTGAATTAATAAAGGCATTTAGTCAAAGGAGTGGTTGGTCAAGTTAAATTCACATGGGATTTAGAATACTCTAAAATGACAACTTCCTAAATCTGGAGGAGGTATAGGACAACACACACAACATGGGCTATTCCAGAAAGGCACCCGGAAATTCTGCATGGGATCCATTGTGCATTACCCATCAGCAAGTGTGGAGTTTTCAATATTAGCTGATTGCTTAACGCCTATTCACCAGGGCAAATGAAAATAACATCTTGTTCTTCTAAATGTCTGATTTTAATCCTTCAATTTGAAAATCCCTCAATTGAGGAATTCACTGCATAAAATAGAATCAATTATCAATATCACCTCACTCAGAACATTTTTGGAACACCTATCATATACAAAAACTATACCAGATGCTTCCATATGTAATCTCAGTTAATTTTTATAATAACCTTCTGAGGTAGGTGTACTATCCTTATTTTATAGATCAGAAAATTGAGACACTAACTCAGAATTCAAAGTATATGACTCAAAGCCTATACTCTTTCCATTAATTTCTCCTGGCTTCCCTGGTAGAGACAGGAAAGAAGTTCATAGTCATTTGTCTGTTTGGTTTTTAGCAGTGATTCTTCAGAGAGGTGGTAACACCTAAGCATTGCACTATTGGCGTTAGAACAATAAAAAGAAGTTGGCAGAAAAGAAAAAAATTGAATTTGAAAAATAGGTTTCAAAGTAAAACGAAACCCCAAGGTATGAATTGGAACAGTTGAATTCATACATAAAAAGGAGAGAGAATGTGCCAAATTATTTCAAGAATCTGTTGTAGCCGAAACTGGTTTGGCTCAGTGGATAGAGCTTCAGCCTGCAGACTGAAAGTTCCCGTGTTCGATTTTGGTCAAGGGCACGTACCTTGGTTGTGGGCACATCCCCAGTAGGGGTTGTGCAAGAGGCAGCTGGTCGATGATTCTCTCTCATCGATGTTTCTAACTCTCTATCCTTCTCTCTTCCTCTCTGTAAAAAAAATCAATAAAAAATATATTTTTTTTAAAAAGAATTTGTTGTAAATTCTGACATCCAAAATAGCAGTTATAACCATTTAGTGACTCCTCTATTGAAAGTATTGAATCATGGAATCTGCTCCAACAATAACTTACCCTATGATCTTGGATCAGTTATCCATCAGTAAAATAAGAATAAATAATAAAATAATAATAATGAAAATAATAAATAATAAAACACTTCATAGAGTTGTTTTAAAGAACAAATAATATTAAAACAACAACAGCAACAATATTTTGAGATCTTATCAATAAAGGCCACCAGTGTCAATAAAAGACTAATTCCATTGATGCAGAGGAATCATTTCTAAATTGGAAACAGAAAATCCCAGATAATCATCTCAGCTGATCTAGTGTTGGGGTCCTGAGAGGCTGTAGCCCCCTTCTAAGAATCAGGAAATAGCTCTTAAACTATATAATTGAGAATCAAAGAGGGAAATCTGAAGGATGGTGACCAGCCAAGACAGTGCTACAGTGATTCATTCATTCATCCATCCATTTAACAAATGTAAATTAAGCACCTTCTTTATACTATAACTGTTTTTTTCCCATTTCCTGTGGGTTCGAGAATAAAGCTGTGTCAGTCCAGGCACTATTCAGTAGGCCCTACCTCAGATGGCCATTTCCAGCTTGGGGCCCAGTGGTCTATAGAGGAGGGGACTCTGGAAAAGGACAATCTAAAAATCTCCCTCAAGCTTAATACTACTGTGAAGTCTATCTCCCTGCTAGATATAGTTCTTCCATTCGCTCCAGATACCCCTGAGCACAGAAGCACAGAATTGTGTGTAAACACGTACACACACACACACACACACACACACACACACACACTGGTTCTCTACGCTGTTTTAGATTATATCTATTTGAATATGTTCCTTTGTAAGATAAGAAATCTTCACATTTGTTTCTTCTGCCTTTCATTAGATGGCAATAGACAGCCCACTCCCTAGGAAGAAACCTACTGAAAACCCATTTGTGGCTGCTTCCCCTCATGAGCTCCTGCTAAGCTGGTAGAAAGCTTCCCCGGTGACTCCATTTTAGTTGGATTGCCTGCAGAACCTAGCGCTGTATGTAGAGTGCAACTTAGGGGGTGGGGGCTGGAAAGCAGCTGAGCAGGGTCTGGGGGACAGAGAATATACTGAAGAAGGGTACTGTGTCCCCAAAGAAAAGGGAAAGCTTAAAATACCCAAGGTGCCACAAAAACATAAATTTATATGCAAAGTAAAGAAAACAGAGCATATTCATTTATTTGTAATCTAACACTACACTCCTACTGCCAAGACAAAAATGTAGTGGCATTCCCCCTCCACCCAGTCCCTCTGCCTTTGGTGGCTTCTGATACCTCATCTCTCCTCTGCAGGCTGCCTTGGATATTCTTTTTGACCTGATTTTAATTCAATCTGGTCAAACATGTTGGAGGAGGGGAAGGAAGAGGGAGAAACTTATTAGAATTTGCCACTGGAGCTAGACCTAGGCCCTTGAGTACCAGCTACCTTCCCCATCACAGGGTGATCCTGTGGTGAGGGAGACATGGAAAGCACCAGTTCTATCCCTGAGACAGAAGCCAGAGCTACCTGCAAACATTAGTTGAACATATACAATTTATTTGCCAGTCTCGAGTTGAGGGGCCCTGGAAGGTTCCACAATGGGCTTCAGGATTGTCATGTATTGCTACCAAGCTGTGGGGCTATTCCTCCTTGCCACAGCCCTAAAGAAGAGTCCCTCTTATCTTTCTTCTCTCTCTTCTTATTCCTTCTCTAAGCTCCTTTCCTTCTTGACCTTGAGAACCCAGTAACGGGCTCCCTCTTATTACTGGCAGTCTGGCAACAAGAGAAAGTGAGAACCAGATTCTTTTCAGCTGAGGCTGGGAAACAAAGAGTCAAAGTTACAGGGGTGAGTCCAGAAACTGAAAGTGCTGGAAACATCTCCTGCCATCTCCTCGTTCTCTAAGGCAGAAGAACAAGTCCTCTTCATGCCAACTGGGGAGCCCAGCCCCCAGTTTGCAGAAGCGATGCTTTGGCCAGTCACCTTCTGTGATTCCAACTCTGCAGAGGGGAAAACCTTCAGAGGGCCTGGCTCTGGGCATCCATGGGAGGCAAGGTGGGGATTAAGGACTATTGCAGAATAGAAAAGGCAGACTACAGATTGTGCAGATTAGCCCACAAACATAACAAAATAAAACAAAACATCCAGCTCTCCCCTGAGAGAAGGTGAAGAAGCAAGCTCTTGGTGACCTTTATTTGGACCAAGATGCTTTGTCTCAAGGATACAGACACACGCCCAGACTGCTAGGGGAATACTATCAGTTCTCTGCCAGCGATGAAGAATACCTTTCCCCGCCCCTAAAATTTTGTCTTAGTAGCTCATTCTCCCCCTGCCCTTTCCCTTCTTCCCTTTTGTTCTTCCCGAAGATAAACTCTCCAGCTGGCTAAACTCTTAGCTTCAAGGGAAGGAATCAGACTTGCAGACTGGTTGTCCGACTTTGGGTGTGCTGGAAGAAGAGAAGGGTTCTGCCGGTGACAGGCGTTAGGCAGATCTCAGCCTTCTGGATTGCTTGGGGTTGAGGGGTACTCACTGGGTAACCCCTCCCCCAACAGGCATTCAGTGGCTGAAGAGCAGTTGCTCTCGGCATAGCCCACAAATGAAATTGCTGCTGTCCAGCTGCTACTTCCGAGCTGCAAAGTTGTTGGGAAGAGGGGAGGGTCCGGGTGGGTGGGGGTTAAGGGGATGAGATTGTGGACTAGGAAGAAAAGAACGGGAGAGGAATTCACTATCCTTTGGGGGTGCATTCTTCATCACCCATTTGCTTCACTTACCATCTCATTGTAGGCATCCTTGCTGAGCCTGGGGGTCAACTTGATAGTCCCCATAAAAACAAAGAAGAGTCCCAGGGCCACTGAGAGGGCCACGACAGTTACGGTTCTGGGGGATGCCATGAAGTCACCAAGACAGGTCCCAACTAATCCTCTGCTTTGCGCACCGCACAGCGTGTGTCTAAAGCGCTGACAGTTAACAGAGAAAACAAGAGGGACGCTGCAGAGGCTGCAGGCAGCTAGAATGACAAAGGGAGAGGAGGGAGCTAGAGAGAAAAACTGAGATCCAGATTCTACCTCTCTCACTACAACAATTGCTGGGTCCTAATGCCCTACGTCAGCTCCTCACTGGCCTAAAGCACACTCTTAAAGTTAAAAGAATCCCTAAATTGAGATGGAAATTTCAAGTCTTACATGCGGAAAAAGTAGGCTAGGCTTCAAGCTCAGTTCCTGAGCCGCCTCTAGAATGAGGAATAGGAATGACCTCATCCCTACCACTTCCCACCAGGTGCATGTTTCATCTCTGTAGTCCTCTGTTATTCTTTTTTCCAACCTCTCTCATTTTCTCCAGTTTCCTTTCTCTCAATCAAATCATCGGTCCTCAGAGTTGCTGTTTTCTGCAGTTGGTAACACTCAAGGATAAAACTGAAAAGTTGTCAGATTTGATTGCTGCCAAAGACTCTCTTTATCTTCCTCTAAAACCTTTCATGGCTCCCATTGCCCATTGGTTTAACTCCAGAGTTGTAAGCTTTTCATTCAAGACCCTTGGCTTATCTTCCAATAGCTCCCACTGCCAGGAGCCACCCCTCTTCTCCTCTCTACTCATGGTCCCATACAACCTGAGCTTTCCAACCTCCATTACATTCCCTTTCACTACTTTCCCACTCTTCACTAACATTCAATCTTTTCTTCATTGTCACCTCATCCATAAAGACTTCCCTGATCTATTCTCAGCAGGATTTTATTTCTTTCTCCTCTGATTTCTAAAATAACCAATATATATATTGGCTGTTTGCTGTTTATTTATTGAAAATGCTAGATACTACCCTTTAATTGTATTAACTAAGTTATCTTTACAGCAATATCATGAGCTAGGTATGAGCTCCCATTTTATGTATGAAATGTTGAAGGATAAGGAAGTTAAGTAAGCAACTTGCCCATGAGTATATGCTAGTAAATGGAGAGCCAGAATTCCATCCTAGGCGGTCATTTCAGAGCCTAAGTTCTTAACCATTACTCTACTACCTCTTTGTATAATAATTTACATAATCAGTATGGCACTTACTTGATATTGCTTAACACTGTAATTACACACACACACACACACACACACACACACACACACCTATTTGATAGGCAGTTTTCATTAAGAGAGAGAGAGCAGTCTGGAGTCAGTCTCAGAAGGTCCAGGGATTAAATCCCAAGTCTGCCACTAACTTTGTGGCAGATAAGTTGCATAACTTATTTAGCCTCCATTTCAAAAAAATATATTTTTATTGATTTCATAGAGGAAGGAGAGGGAGAGAGAGAGAGAGAGAGAAACATCAGTGATGAGAGACAATCATTGGTTGGCTGCTTCCTGCACAGTCCACACTGGGGATTGAGCCTGAAACTCAGTCATATGCCCTGACCGGGAATTGAACTGTGATCTCCTGATTCATAGGTCAACACTCAACCACTGAGCCATGCCAGCTGGGCAATTTCCACATTTATAAAATACTAGAGGCCCGGTACATGGATTTGGGCACTGGTGGGATACCTCGACTTGGCCTGCACTCTCTCACAATCTGAGACCCCTCAGGGGATGTCAGAGAGCCAGTTTCAGCCAGATCCCCACAGGCCAGGCCAACAGACCCCATCAGTGCACAAATCTGTGCACAAGGCCTCTAGTATGCATATAGGATCTTTGGTTAATATCTTCCTCCCTATCCCCTTCCCTCTGAGATTCATCAGTCTGTTCCATGTTTCCAGCCTGTGGTTTTCACTCCTTCATTGAGCATCTGCTCCACCCTCCTCACAGTGATCATTTGATCATTGTGCATCATAGCTATGTGCTGGTTGGCTGGTCGACTGATTGGCCTGTTGCTTAGGCTTTTATATATATAGATGGAAGAAAATTCTGCCTCAAAGGCTTTTTGTAAAAATTTCATATGTGTAAGTCAATTGCCTAGCAAGTGTCTAACATGTGATTCCTTGATGGATGTAGTTCTCCTCTTGCTTCTTCTGCCTTTCAAATCCACTTCACAATTAGTTTAGATTACAAGCATTTAATAGGTAGGGATAACTTATATATATCCCCCATAGTACCTAGAGCAACACCTTTTGTGTGTCACATCTTAATAAACCTTTGTTGGAAAAATTGATAAATTTAAATGCAAATATATCTGGAAGTGGTAACACTTTAATATTTTTTTATGGATTTCAGAGAGAGGAAGAAAGAGGGAGAGAGGGATAGAAACATCAATGATGAGAGAGAATCATTGATGGGTTGCCTCCTGCATCCCCCTTACCAGGGGATTGAACCCAAAACCCAGGCATGTGCTCTGACCTGGTATCTAACCATGACCTTCTAGTTCATGAGTCAGTGCTCAACCACTGAGCTGCATCATCCGGGCAACACTTTAATCTTTAGCAATCATTTATATTTTATGATGGAAAATTTCAGACTCTTTTCTTATTCAAATTCAACCTATGAATTACTGAGTGCCTACAATGTGCATACTGTAGGAATACACTGATAAATGAGTTATAAACCTTATTCCCAATGGGCTTGTTGTATAGTAGAGAATAGGGTTTATTAAAGAGGAGAGAATTTCTCTGTACATGCAAGAAAGACTGGAAAGAATAAACCAAAATGAAATGTCCTACATTGAATATGTCAGTAAAATGGGCACTTAATGCCCTAGCTGGTTTTGCTCAGTGGATAGATCATTGGCCTATCATTGATGTTTCTCTCTCTCTTTCCCTTTGAAATCAATAAAGAAATTTTTTAAAATGGCCACTTAAGGAAGCCCATTCATATAGTTAAGCAATTGATTATATATATATACTGCCCTAACGGGTTTGGCTCAGTGGATAGAGCATCGGCCTGCAGAATCAAAGGTCCCAGATTTGATTCCAGTCAGGGGCATGTGCCTTGGCTGTGGGCACATACCCAGTGGGGAGTGTGCAGGAGACAGCTGGTCAATGTTACTCTCTCATCGATGTTTCTGACTCTCTGTCCTTCTCCTGTCCTCTCTGTAAAAAAAAAAATCAATAAAATATATTAATATTTTTATTAAATATTTAGTATACATATATTTTAGTATACATATATTTATTAATATATATATTAATATATAGTATATATATACTATAAAATAGTATATATATACTATTTTCCCTTTCAAATTATATGATAATGGGAATAATACTATTCATTATAAAAATGTATAAAACACTGAATTACAAGTAATATAAGGAAAAATAATTCATGACTACAACATGGAGAGATAAACATTGTTAATATTTGGACAATATTTTAATGGGCTTTTTAAAGTACCTCTCTATGTACAAAATAGATATAAATTAATTTTTCAAAATTCGATCCTACTATAGAGTCAGGTTTATACCCTTTTTTGTAACTTGTTAGCATTTTTGCATATCTAAGACTGTCTTTAAATCACAGTCTTTTTAAAAAATGATTTCATAATACTTCAGCATCATTTAAATATACTATAATTTATTTAACTATTCTCTTATTGCTAGATATTGATGTTGTTTCAATGACTGTTGCTTGTACACATGAAGATAAAAATTTTATTGTATATGAATTCCTGAATTTTCCTTAGGATTAATTTCTAGAAGTTGAGTGGGTCCAAATTACAAACTTTTATTATGTACATGTAATTTATGTATATAAAGAGCTACATTTACTTATTACTTAGAGAATGCCAGACACTATGCTCAGTGACTTGCATATATTGTGAGATCAGTATTGTCAATTCTCTCCATTTTATGAATGAGGAAAGGGATTGAGGAGTGAGGCAGTTCCCTGAGTTCAGATCAGGGTTACCACCTTTGGGGTATTCAACTTAAACCTGTGTTGTTTCTCAGTATGCTGCTGCTGTTCCTTTAGTTCATTTAAGAGGTATGAATGTTTAAAAGACTCTTGATACATATTATTAATGTGATTTCCAGAAAAGAAATTTACCCTCCCATCAGCAGTACAGAAGTGTGTACACTTCACCACATCAGATCTGCATTGAGAATTTCAGTTTTTCATATTCACCAATTTCATTCATTTAAAAATTTGTGTTTCATAAGATATTAGTGTGTTAAAATATTTTTCAGATACTTATTAGTTATATGTATCTCTTCTGTTTATGTCCTTTTCCATTTTTGTATTGGTGGTTTTGATTGATTGATTCATAAGAGCTCTTTATAGCATACTGACATCAATCATGTTTTTAATATTTTTCCATTTGTGTTTGCCAATAAATTTGATGGAGTCAACTCTAGCAATGCTTTTAGGATTTTCCCATTGTTTTTATGCTTAGAAAGGTTTTCCCAGTCTCAGGATTAAACATTTGCCTATATTTCCTTAAAGCTGTCTTACGTGGGTTTTTTTGTTTTGTTTTGTTTTGTTTTTTACATTTAATACTGATAACTAATTCAGTTCTTCCTCGTTGGTTTGTGATGCTTTGGTTATTGTATATCAGGTTCTAGATCAGTCCCAAGGCTTTCTTTTCTGTCCAACTGTTTTCTTTTTTGATTCTTGTTACAGCACTAATATGCTTTAGACATTGTAACTTACGTAAACATTTTACTATCTTGTCTAATATACATTTTACTAGCCAAGACTCCCATCATTATTATTCTTTTTCAAAGATTATTTGTCATTCTCTCCTATTTATTCTTTTAGGTGAATTTTAGATCACTTTATCAAGGTAAAATAACTTTGAATTTTGACTAGCTTGAATTAAACATGTAATTTTTAAAAGTTGCTCACTTACAAAATACAGCTTTCCCATCCAGAAATATGGTATCAGTGTCCATTTATTCAAATCTTGGTTGCTGAGAGGTATACAAATATCCTTGTTTTTTCTTTGTATAGTCTATTCATTTTTTAAAAGTTATCCCTA